CTAATGTATTCATCTTCACCTATGTTTAATCTTAAATTTGAGACTTTTTGTATCCTTGGAGGCATCTGTTATCAAAACATGGAGTTAATTGAGTGGATCTTCTCTGGTACAGGTGACAGGAGGGATTACATTTGCAGACTGCAAGTGTGTTGTTTTTGGTGGTGCTTCTGTTATTTTATTCTTCTTTCTATTCATCTTAGTTTTTAGAGGCTCATGCTTGCAGTAGTGTCGAAGGGTGCCCTACTACCACTATTTTCAAACACCTGTAAAAGCCTAGTACCCACATGGAACAGTTCACAACATGTTGGAAATGTGGGTGTTTTATAATCCTCCATCTCGATTAGAACCCAGCTGAGAGTAGAAAGAAATATGCATGCTGTTAAAAATGTACTCTGAAGCATGGCTTTTTTAGAAACCCTCCCTCCAATATATATTTTCTTCCTGCCTTGCAGTTTCTCAATGAGTTAGCTCTTCTCTGTGATAAAGCATACAGCTGCAGGCAATTAAACACTATAGAACTACTTCCTATCAGAAACTGCAGTTTTAAAGGTACCATAAATAAAAATAAATGCAGAAGGTTGTTTTTTTAAAAAATGTGCAAAATTAACATAACATGCAAAGCTTCTTTTTATTGTTAAAGTTATTCTCCTTTTCCATTTGCTGCCTAATCTTTTTTAGCCAAGATACCAGCATTAAATATATTATGCTTCCAACCAACAGGCACTATGATTAAAATTATATTGTTAAACATAATAACTTATCTTCATGTACTTTCTGCAGAGTAAGTTACTCTTCATAAAATGATTTTTTCTTTTAACAAGAAGCAGGGGTAGACACATTGACCAGAATAAAAATATCAAAGACAAGAGCTTGTGAAGCTGTTGGAAAACCAAATTTGAATCACAGATGCCTAAGACAGAAAAGGTCATCTATCCTATTTTTAAATATCTCAAACAATGAAGATTCTCTCTAGTCCCTTAAGACTCCACTGTCTAATCCTGCTCATTCAGATAGTTTTCCTTGTTATTACATCTACTTTTTATTTTAATTTCATCTGATTCCTCCTAATTATGACACTTAGTTTAATGTTTAATTCTCAACAAATTCATGGAATATATTTGTTATTCCAAATTGCTTTGCTTCACAGATACAAAAACAAAAGTTTTATAAGTTATTTTAAAAAAAATAAATCAGTACCATATTACTCATGATCAAATAAAGGAGAGGAGTGAAAAAATGTGTTTAGTATTCCACAGATAGGATGATTAATTACTTTCTTGAATTAAGGCCTCTCTCAAAAATGATGGAACCAGTTGAATGTTTATCCTTATCATGCTTTAAGTCCCAACTCACAGAGCATTTACCGCAAAATTTGTAACAAAATTAGCCACATTAAATTTGAAGTTATAGTTGGGTAATTCATTATATCTGATGTATTGTGTGAATATTTTGGTGAAAAAAAATAATATAGGTGTGAACTCCATCCACCTTTTTGAGACATGGTTTTTAATGTTAAATCAAAACATATTTGTGTTTCTACATGCTGAAGCAAACTCTGCAGAAACCTGAACTTCAGAAAAAGGATTTTAGGCCATAAACTAAAATTATTTTAGTTCTTGAGCAACAGATCAGCATAATCTGCCACCAGGATGACCAAGTGCCAGTGTTGCTAATGGCACCAAAGTTAGCTCAGTTTGCTGATACCTGTGGGAAGTAAATCAACATTCTGACAAATCTTTTTCTCCCTATTCTGGATCCCAGAATTCTGGCATGATGATGTAAATGTAAAGTTATAAAAAATATATTATGTTTAATTAAAATGAGAGAAAGAGACACGTTGAAATGTTCTGCTTTCTCTAAGACAGAATGAGAATATGGAGTTCTTACAAAGCTTTCCATAAACATTAGGGCTGTCCAAAATGGCACTGTTCCATTCTGACCTCAGTTTCAAGGTCTGGATGGAACACTGTTTTGTATCAAATTTCATTTTGAGTCGAAACAGCCTCACTGTTTCACTTCGTCGAAACAGTGAAGCTATTTTGACCCTGTTTCAATGTTTCCCCTGACCAATGGGCTGGGGAAAGGAACTCAGCCCAGCTAGGCTGACTTCCCACCCCCATGCGATCTAGCATGGGGAATGGGAAGGCAGCCCAGCTGGGCTGACTTCCCGTCCCCTGCTGGATCTTGCATTGGCTATTCTGACGCCCTTTGTTTTGCTTTGATTTTGGTGTTTCGACCTTGAAATGAGTCGAAACAGCATTGAAATGAAATGAAAGGTGAAATTTTGTACAGCCCTATGTCACAGCGGAGTCCTGCAGGAGGGCCGTGATCTCCTTTAGGCCCCTTCCTCCGTGCCAAGTCAGCCCAAGGGCACCCTCAGATTCTCGCCCACCACGTCTTTGATGTTTAAGTAAAGTTGGGAGGCTGCCTCACGTCTCCTTGGGCACGGTTAGCTGGGACCTCTGTCCCTGTGTTTTCCTGGACCCACCAGGGGTCTCCCTGTATGATGGGTGCTTCCCAGGCACCCTAGCCTTATGGGCTACGCGTGGCTCCTACCAACCCCTAATACCACGCCCCAAGCCTTGCAGATGTACTGGACGTTGGTCTGTCAAAATACACGCCCACTCCCCTGGACCTCCTCTGTGGTCTAGCCCACTCCCGGGCCTTCTCTAATATAAGGCCCCTCACGGGGACTCTCGTCGAGCCCACTCTGGGCCTTCTCTAAAATAATCTAGCCCTCGCTACACCCGTCTCGGGCTTCTCAATAGTCCCCCTTCTCTGGGACCTTACATGCCCACACTAGGCTTCCTGATACTATCGCCCCTTCTCTGGGGCTTGCTGTGCCCCCGCTGGGCTCCTTAATAATGCCGCCCCCTCTCTGGGGCTCGCTGTGCCCCCGCTGGGGCTCCCTAACAATGCCGTGCTCTCACTGGCGCCAGGGCGCCCACACCACTGGGGTTCCCCTCCTGAGAATACTGCGCCCTCACTGGCGCTAGGGGCCCCACCCCTCTGGGGTCCCTATGAGGCCTCCTCCAACCCCTTATAGCCTCACCCTTGCCACCAGTGTAATAAGCACCAACACTAACAAAACAAGCCACAAGCTTCCTGGCTATAACTTAACTTAAGGCCGTCTGGCTATAACAACATAGCTTCCGCGTCCCAGAGCCACCACCCTTCAGTCTGCTCGAGTGGTACTCGCATCCTAGCTCCTGCCCCTCTGGCTGCTGGCAGGGGACTGCCAGCCTAGCCTTGGTTCTAGGCTTTATAGGAGCCAGGCCCTGCCCTACATTACCAGCTGACCACTGTCAGGTGTGAGTTAATCTATCTGGGGTTGCCCTGGCAACTCACAGCTGCGCTCATTATCCCTGCTAGGGCTTTTCCCCAGCAGTTTTCCCCTCTCTAGGAGCGGGGCAGCGAGGTGCCCCGCAACACCCTAATAAACATGCACACTGCAATTATAAAATCTGTTACAATGCCTAATATAAATGATAGTACATGGCACGCAACTTATAAGTAATATAGAATGTCATTGTAAAGTGCCTACCATCACTATAGTAATAGCGGTTTCTTCCAGAAACCAAGGCTGGAGTTGTGATGCCAATACAATTAAATGAAAAAAAAAGTTTTAAACCCATAATTTATAGGTAGGGCTGTTACATGGCTAGAGCCTTGGCATATGGAAATTAAATATATCATACACATACAGAAAAAAAGCACAGCTGCAGCTACAACTGTGTGTGTACACATAATTATTTGTATGTGGGAAAAGAATGAATCCGTCTGACACCAGAATAAAATGCTACACTGAGATCTCAGGTCAGAAGTGATCTCAAGAGATCTGGAGGCATTTCAGAATATCTAACTGGTTTAGTACTTTCTTCTCTACAGACTCCTTTCAACCCGTCCTTGAGCAATTCAGAGGAACAGATTTTCAACTTATGTAAATGGAGCAATTGATCTAAATTGGTTTCAACAGAGCTATAAACATTTACACCAGCAAAGGGTCTGCCCTCAGAGACACCTTGTAACAAAGTACAGTTACAATGAAACAATAAAGGGAAGAGCAGAAACTAAGTTAACCAATCACAATAGAGCAGAGTAACAAGTAGCCAATTCTTGCACTGAGCATAGCTTGCAAGCAATGCTCAAATGGAGTATTTAATTAAATAATTTAAAACAAAGAAATTTTGTAAAATATTTGTAAATAGAAATTTTTTTGTTGCATGTCAAAATTCACTGGGTTGTTCATTAAAATACTTGCCAAATTCTCTTTATAACAACCATGTGTCTATTCATATGAATAAGCTGATCCAATTACAAAGGCTTTAAGCAGTCCTCTAAAGAGTTATGGTATGTGTGCATTTTGCATTATTTCTGTAGTACTTCTGGCATCTCATGACTTATAATATGTTGGCTCTATGTTGCTATGTTTAACATGCATTGTAGTTTTATATTTTTTTACTATTTATAACACAAACTACTTATAGCAAAGAAATGGTATCTGCATACAGTGCTTAATCAATACAGCCTAAGTCCTGATTGGTTTCTTGAAGTAGGATGGTTTCACAAATAATTGGGATCTCAATGAATAAGTCCATTGTGTTTATTTATATTATTTAAGCAAATTATTCTCCATATGGAACAAAATTCATGATTTAATACATGAAAACAAAAATCATGTAGCTATTCAAAGTGTATTTAAATGATTAGGAGCGGATTTTCAAAAGGTCCAAGTGTTATAACTAATTATTCTCCTGTTGAAGTGCTTGTGAGAACTTTTAAAAATGCTCCCACTGGTATATATAAACTTTAAAAAAAAAAAGCATATAGCTGTCAATATGCATATTTTGAAGCTTTCCTTAATAGGTGATCTCTTGCTGCCTGATTCAAGCAATTATTCCACAACACCAAAACTATATTTGCAAATGCTCAGTAGCAACATTTTTTTTAATATATTTTTGTTTATTAAATGATTCTTCATATGAAAAAGGAGGTGTGTATTTATTATCAGTGAAATGTACTCTTCTTACAACTGATAGAAGTTAGCTGATCTTATTAGGTTTCATACACAGGTTGTTGTTATGACTTTATATCTGAAAGAAAAGCAAATGTAATTATTAGCTCTCTTTAAATATTATCTTTAAATTACTGTTGTTGGGGAAAAATATGTGCTGTTAAAAGGTGTGGAATCAGAAAAAATATATGCCTTAAACTTTGACTATTTTAGTTATAAGATGACATAACCGCTTTGTGGAGAATTGCTGGCTCTGTATAGTAGAACAGATAAGAGAAAGTGTTTGTTCTTTGTAACTCCTCTACAACTGCTTCGCTCACCGCGGCCTTGAAGATAGCAAAAAGTATGTACAACTCTGATTTGCAGGTGCAAGAAGGAGGTTTGTGAACTAACCTCGCCTCCCCCATTAGTTCCCATCCTGATTACAGCAAAGAAATAATAAAGTAACATTATAGCCGCTTTTCATGCTAATTTCACTATATGATCACGTGAGTTGTAAGCAACTGTTAAAAAGTATATAAGCCTCCTGATTTTGCTCTTGGGGGGGGACCCCTTCCAAGTGCTTGGGAAATCCATGTCACTTTGGAATCCCCCCTACAGCTGTAGTTTCTTTTAAATAAAAGCTTCTGCTGACCTGACCCAAAAGTATGCTGCGTGTGTTTCCACGACAATTCCTGGTGCCGTGACTCGGATCCAGAACACAGGCTGAGAAAGGAGGACCGCAGACTGCCCCCCCCGAACCCCGAAGCGCCAAACTTGAGAGATAAGAGACCTAATTCAAAATCTCTACTGGGGTTTCGGAGGAGGACTGCCTGTAGGCTCCCAACTTGGCCGTGATAACTGGATCTGAACCTTGTTAAAACAGGTCAGTCTGAACCTTACTGCCGGCTAAAATTTTCGGTCTGATAAAGGATCCCATTTTGTGTCTGGTAACGTACGTTTTATTTAGGGAGAAACTGTATGAAGCACCTTCATCCTACAGCACATCGGGCTTGTCGTTAATTAACTAAGGCGGTGTGGGGGAGGAGGTCTGGCTGACTGAATGAATGTGCATGTGTGTGTATTTAGAAATATGAGCCACTGACCAGGTCTGAGACTACGGTTGGGTTCAGCCGCCCCAATTCTGCCTGACAGGGCAGTTTTGAAAGCAAGGGGGCCCAACTGGAACCTCGTGACCCAGTGGACAGGGCTTCCCAGTGATTGAATAAATGTGTGTGTGTGCATTTAGAAAAATGAGCCACTGACCAGGTCTGGGACTAAGGCTGGGTCTAGCCGCCCCGATTCTGCCTAAAAAAGGTAGCGTCGAAAGCAAGGGGGCCCAGCTGAAACCTCGTGACCCAGTGGACAGGGCGTCTGAGTGATTTTGTCTTTTCCAAACCCCTTGTCCCAGTAGCTTCTGCCGAGAGCAGGAGTGAAAGGATTCCTCTTGTGTTTCCCTTCCCATTTCCATTTTATGAGCCGGTGTCGGGTCAGAAGCCTTTTGTCTGGGCAGTGAAAAACTGCGGGGCAAGGCACTGAGCGGCCCGGACATCCTAAATAAGCCTCTCCTACGTCTCCCTGTGTGACTGAAAATGGGAACGAGTCAGTCTAAACAAGTTCCCGTCCCCCCTAAGGGGACTCCGGCGTACTTTATGTACACACACTATTCTCCCGAGGCTTGCAAGTACCTGGATAAGTGGAACTGGTATACTAGGGATGATCCTGTGAAGCATTTTCCACAAGAAGGAACATTTGATCAGGATAAAATAGTGCACTTAAGAGGGGCTTTAGAGTCCCGTGGATCCAAAACACCACAAAACCAGTGGGACGCGTTCTTTTATTGGTATGATGAAATGTCCAAAAGGCGGACAGAATCTCAAACTAGGAGCCTAAAAGACTCTCAAGAAAAATTAAAACAGCAGTTACAAGCTGTTCGGGAGAAATTGGCTGCTCCCCCAAATTACACGCCGGCCACCGCTCCGATGTATCCAGCATTGCCCGGGGCGCCCCCACCACCGGAGCCAGCAGAGGATATCCTTGACCTTTGTTCGAACCCTGCTCTCCTGGGACTCCCACATCAGCAACAACCGGTTCAACATCAGGCTGCAGCCCAGGCTAGTAACTCATTAGCTGAAGCTCCTTCAGTAAATCCATCCACGGAGCTTAATAGTCTGGACTCATCCACCATATCTGCCACTCAATCATCACCAGTGTGGCAATTTACTCCTGGGTCACAACCCACCACAGGTGTATTTAGAAGAATGGGAATAGGCATGGAAAGATCTCCCATCAATCTTAGATCCCGAGCTGCACAAGTTTACCCCCTAAGACAAATGCCAGGCATTGGCACCGATGGACAAAATATAGTAACCGTGCATGCACCCTGGACTCCAGGTGATCTCTACAATTTAACTCAAAAATTCCCCAAAATCAGGGAAGACCCAGAAAAATTTCAGGAAGAATTGCAGACTGTTATAAATTGTTATAATCCAACATGGGCTGACATTAATCAGCTCATGCGATCGATTTTGCCCAAGGAAACTATGCTACGTCTGTATGCTGCCTGTACTTGGCCAGATCAAAACCCAGGGATTGGCCAAGACTTTATTGACAAGAGAAATGCTTTGGTTCAGGCAGTTCTCACAATTTGCCCAAAAAAGGCAGACTGGACCAAAATAAATACCTGTAAACAAAACAAAAATGAACACCCCAGTGACTATTTGGAACGCCTCAAACAGGCATTTGAACGATACTCAGGAATGGATAACCCAGTCGGAAATGCTAAACAAGCAATAGTGGCAGCATTCATCCAGGGACTTAACCCTAAAATTGCTGAGAAAATTCAAACAGTAATTATTGGCTGGGAAACTAAAGATTTGACTGAAGTCCTTGCTGCGGCTAACCATTTTCATAACAAATTGGAACGGTCTAAAGACAATGCCGAGTTTAAGTTAATGGCCTTACAGATTTCTCAGTTGCAGGGTCCAGGTAGAGGAAGGGGACGAGGACGGGGAAGGGGAGGCCCGGGTAGATTCAGGGGAAGAGATAGATCCTTGAGCCCACAAAACCCAGGCTATGGGAACCAATGTCATTATTGCAAGCAAGAAGGACATTGGAAATCAGAATGCCCCAAGCGCCCCGGCCAAGGACCCAGACCCCAGTCCCTGCCCCCACCTCCACTTCCTGTCAATTTTCCCAGTGTTGAATAGGACAGCCTGAGGGACAGTGACATCATCGCTCCTTTGCTTGCTACTGACCAATCTGGTCCGTTTGTTGAATGCCTTATTTCTGGTAAACCTGTCTCCTGTCTTGTCGACACCGGAGCATCCCGCTCCACGCTAAAGGCTGCTGAGTTTCCTTTTCTACCTTATTCTCCTGAAACTATAAATGCTGTCGGTATAGGCGGACAACCTATCCCACATCCCGTCTCTGAACCTGTCTCCATCTCTATTGGCCCTTTGTCTGAAAATCATGCCTTTCTTCTTAGCCCCTGTGCACCTGTCAACCTTCTTGGTAAGGATTTGTTGTGTAAACTGGGATGCGTGATTTATTGTAGCCCAGATGGTGTTTACCTTGAGGTACCAGAACATAGGGAAACTGAGCTTGTGGCTTTGCTAACCCAGGAGTACTCTGAACCTGACACTTCCTACTTGCAAGAGGAACTGTTGGCACGAGTACCTCCACAGCTGTGGTCCACCCATGCAAATGAAGTGGGGCACATGCTGAGTGCTGAACCAGTGCGTATCATCTTGAACCCTGCCAAGCCA